AAAAAAAAAAAAAAAAAAAAACAAAAACAAAAATATATTTCATATATAATCTAAACACAAATGAGCTAACCTTGCCAGCCAGGTTGGTTATGAAATTGAGTTCGAGGAGTTTGAGGAGCGCCGCCATTGATGCAGTTACTATAACCAACAGCCGCAATATTATTCAAAAACTCAGTGTGAGAAATAGCTCTAAGCCCCAAGAAATCTCTTGTACTCAGCCCTTCATCACTTCTGCCTCTAAAAATCTCATCTTTCTCAAAACCCCCTCCAAATCTCTCTAATTCAAAACAAGCCCCTTCAAAATCATTGTAATTATTGGATTTGTTCGTGTGGAGTGGCAGAGCATGAGAAACCCCTACACCTTCACTGCCAGCCATCAAGATCTGATGATGATTGTCACGTGAGGAGGAGGAGGAGGAGGAGATGTTACCATTGTTGTTACTATTGCTCATTGTAGCTCCCATTTGAGCTGCTTTTTGAAGAAGTGCTGTGGCTGACATATGTGGAGAAGGGGAAGAGCTTTGAATTAGATGAAGAGGATTATTAGGGTTCATAATTTGATCATTGTTGATCATGATGAGGCTTTGATGATCTTGTAATGGTGATGATCTTGAGCTTGGACAGCCTATCCATGGGGGAATATTGAAATTGTTGGTGGTTGGGATTTGTTGGTGCTCTTTTTTGAGAGAGAATGAGTTGATATCTAAGGGATTTTGGAAGTTTAAGTGAGAGATTGATGAAGAAATGGGAAGGTTTTGATTGTTATTTGGGTTTGATGTAGTAATGGCTCTTGCACTTTCCTCTGCTAATGCATCACAAAAAGCTCTGTGGGTGATGAAACTATCCCTCCTGTTCATAAAAAGACCAAGCACACATGAATATGGTATCAAGCACATATGAATTTGGTATCAAGCACATATGAGTATGGTATCAAGCACATATGAATGTGGTATCAAGCACATAAGAATGTGCTATCAAGACACATGAATGTGGTATCAAGCACATGTGAATATGATATCAATACATTAATAGGTTTTCACACATATCTAAACATAGTAGTTCATCCCATATCAAGCCTAACCTATAAATTTAACCTTTTTGGCCTTACATTTGTATTAGATCAATAATACTTCATTCATATCGATAAGAACGCTTTTAAATCATCAGGTTAGACGCCCTTTTACGAGAACTCAGTCTGAATTTATAATTTAACCTATAAATTAAACTTTTTGGCCTCAGAATTGTATTAGATCAATAATATTTCATTCATGTCGATAAAAACACTCTTAAATCATCAAATTAGAGGCAATTTTGAAGTTGTAATTTAACCTATAAATTGAAGTTTTTTGGGCTCAGATTTGTATTAGATCAATAATATCTCATTCATATTGATAATAACGCATTTAAATCATTAGATTAGATGCATTTTTACGAGAACTCGAGCCTGAATGTGAGTATTTTTGTACCTCCAGAAAAGGGTTCCACAATCACATCTGTACTCTCTAGTGCCACAAGTCTTGGAATGAGCTTTCCAATCCGATTGAACAGCGTACCTCTTAGAACACTTATCACATTTCCATTTCTTCTCGCCATGCTTTCTACAAAAGTGCTTCTTGATTCCTGTCAAGTCCCCAAGAGCCCTCAATGGATCATGATGAACACAGTTTGTTTCTGGACACACATACACTTTCTTCCTTATAACCTCTTTGTTAGCTCTTTGCTTTAATTTCCATGGCAGATTGTGCCCTCTTTTGTGGAGCTGAAGATTCTGATCTCTCTGAAACCCCTTGCTGCAGATCTCGCATACGAATCGATTCGTCGCCATCAGCGTCTTCGGCGATAAAGCTACCACTTCGGCATCTGGGTCTGTCACCAAATTCAACCAAATTAATTGTTAGATCCATAAATGAAAGAATCAAAGAAATAATTAACATAAACAAAAACAAACAAACCTGGATTTCCGGGGAGGTTTCTCTTCTTTTTTGGTGGTGGGGCTGAAAAATACTGGCCGGAATAGTTGGCCGGAAGGTGATCGGAATGGTTGCCGGAGCAGGCACTGGGTTCACCAGAAGCTGAAGTTAAATTGGACATAGTGTCCTCCATAGCTGGTTGTTCAAACAACAAACTTTTTATTATGTAGAAAACAAATTAGAATTGGAAGACGGGGGATCGATCCGAAGAAACGAGCAAAAAAGTCGTCTTTTTTGATCTTTTGTGCTTAATTTGAAGCTTGGGATGAATTTGGCAGTGACCCAAGAGACAATTTTGAAGCTTTTTTTTTTTAAAAAATGTTGATAATATCAATGAAAAATATGAACAAACAAAAACAAAACCCAGAAAGAGGAGAGAGAGAGAGAGAGAGAGAAATTGATAGTTTAAAGGACAATAGAGAAAAACAGAAAGAGGCAAAGGAAATGAAGCCTACGGCTGGCGAAACCCTTGTTCATGTTCCACTTTCTGTCGTCTCCTCTGTTTTTTTTTTTTTTTTTTTTGTTGGAAAAAGTTTTAAAATTTTGTTCTCTCGCACCGAGTGTTGGTAGTGAGTCGGGTCCAAGTTGTCTAATTTAAGGAATGATCATGAGTTTATAAGTAAGGAATACATCTCCATTGGTACGAGACATTTTGAAAAAACGAAAGCAAAATCATGAGAGCTTATCGTACCATTGTGGAGATCAGTGATTTTTAATCCACTTATGTTCAAAGTGGATAATATTGTAACCCACTTATGTTCAAAGTGGATAATATTGTACGATTGTCGAGATTCGACTCACCCCAACAATCCTATACCCTTGTCTTTATTCTCTCTTAAAAATTAAAACTTTGGTGTTTGTCTCTCTCTCTAAAAAAGTGGGTAACTATTGCAAAAGGCTGTCATGGTAAAAAGAGAGTATCATTTTGTATATACCTGAGAGAGAGAGAGAATTTCATTTGTTTATTATTAATTGTTGTCTGTTTATTATTAGATCCATCATGGGAAATGAGTAAGATCCTTACCCCAACTTTCTCCCCAATTACTGTGCCATCATTCATCCATTCATTATACATCAAAAGCTTTATCACCGTTTTAACCTCAAACCCACTTTTACCTTTTAATGTAATAATCCAAAATTTTTACATTAGAAAACAAAAGGTTGCTTACAGAGCTAAGAAGTGGGGTTAGCACGGTTCGAAACTAGTCAGAAAATGTGTTTTTTACGACTCAAGATCAGCATTTTGGCTTGGGTCTGATATACTCGGTTCCTTTCTTCCTAGTTTCAATTTTTTGGAACATTAGTATGACTACCTTTTGGCTAGTTTAAATTTTGGGAATCCTAATTTAAATTAATTTGAATTATTAGTTATTTTATGCAAAATTAGGATTAGCTAGTTTAAATGAGTAGGACTAAGTTTAAATTATGAAGTGAGTAAATTCCAAGTGTAGAATTCTAATTTATGATTCTAATTTATGATTGTAATTTATGATGGTGGGAGTTCTTACGAAGAATTTACTTTTAGAGAGCAACGTTAAGCTAGCATCAAGGAGTCATAGTAGATTTGGCCTAAGTCAACTAAGTAAGTGACTTTACTATCGACTCGGTTAGAAAACTTGTTTTATGTATGACGACATGTGTCCAATGACCATTGCACGTGTCATTTATGATTTATGTTATATGATGATGTGATGATGTTATGTTGATGACGTGATGACGTTAGATGATAATGTGACGATGTTATATGATGATGGGATGAATAAATCTAGTATACAAAGTAAAGACAATTTACAAGTAAGAATGTGGTTAGTCGTTTTGCAGCTAAAAACAAGAATCTTTCGAGTAGACTAAGAATTTCGATAACCTAAGCAATAATGCTTCAAAGACAGATTGCAGCATCCATAGTCGTACAGTTAGTCTTTCACGGTGTTACTTTGTTATTTATTTAATAATAATTACAAGTCCATTTTATATTTTCCAATTAAAATGAAAGGGATAATTCTATAAATAATGGAATTACCAATTACTCACTTTTAATATAGTACTTCTCTACCCGTTTCTATGCGGTAGAAAACCAAAAAAAAATGAAAGAAACACGAATAATATTGAGGTGTACGCGCCCATACATAACATGTTGGAGAAGTAACCTATGATCATATGACATACAATATGCACGAGGTTCCACGTTAAAAATCATGGTTCAATGATATGATGAACCATAATATCTTCATCGTGATATATATTCTTTTGAAACATATGTATATATTCAATACACAGTACATTTGTTGTCTCACGAGACATAAACACTAATTTTAATAGTTTGAGTAGCAACCGAAACGGACAAACGTAGTTACTTATTTCAAGTTGAAATAGTTTGAACAAATCACTCATTTTATGGTCTTAATTATGTTAGAACCAATTTCGAGATGGTCCAAAATGGATAAACGATCAAAGTTTTTATTTTATTTTTTTGATTCGTCAATAACAAGGAAGTCTTATCTATTCGAATTTTTTTTTAAAATACAAAAATTTAAATACATTATGTAATTAAATATTATAATAATGATTATACTTATGATTATTTTTAATTACACAGAATATAATAATTTAGGTTTAAATGTGAGGGGTAAGGTTTTATTGTTAATTTCTTCTCTTATTATTATTATTATTATTATTTCAAGAAATTTCAACCTAAGTTGCTATAAATATAATGTCATGTAATGGAGAATGGAGGTGTCGCTTATTTTAATAGTAAAAAAGAAAGGAAGTAGATTGGGCTGTCATGTAATCCAGCATCACCACACGTGAGCATAATATTCCTGTGAATCACAGCCTAATAAAGTTCACGAGCGAGGGTCCCACACCAACCCAATAATTGACCAAAACGTGGGCCCCACAAAAGCAGTCCAAAAATCTAAAATAAAAAATAACAATAAAATTGACATTAAATGAAAATTCTAAATTTACCGCCCTTACCCTTTGAACTTTAATTAATAAAATTTAATACACATTATATAATAATGTTTATGGAACATTTAAGCTATAATTAAAGATCTTCTGTGACCAAATTATTTAATTTTGAAGAGAAATTGAATTAAGATGAAGATCAATAGATTAATAGAAAGTTCCTACCCTCAATAAATTAATAACTAAAAATAATAAAAATATATTTTTCGGCTACCTACTCACCATTTATCTATTAATACAAAATAATTTATATGATCGGATTGCCACGATGTCAAAGGAGAAGGTCCCAAATCCCAATAAGTTCATGAAAAACAAAAACACCAATATATGTAGGGCGGCTATTACTTAGATCTATTTTTCAAACCACACCGATATATCGGTAGATAACTAAGAGAGTCATTTCATTTACGGCAAGCCTGTGTGGTTACGGGGGCGGGCACGAACGGTCTAGTGTTCGAGCCAATTGATTAGACGACGACGACTGAACTTATTAGATTAGTATTAGCTGCCTATCTCAAAAGAAAATGGGATAATAGAAAGACCGGGAAGCATACTTTGTTGGAAAGCCCCTTTGATTAATGAGAGTGTCGTACTGCTCGCCACTCCCTAGTTTAGCTAGCTTAGCAGCTCAAGGGATCCACGTCTCTTCTTGAGATTAGAAGTTCAAATCTCCACCTCTACGTCTCACCCTCAAGCAAATGGTTTTTTTTGGTCAACAAAGTACCAAACATCACTATATGGAGTCATTTTAACGAAAACATATAGAAAAAAGTGATTTTGGCACTCCGAAACATGTCCTTATCGTTACGAAAATCGAATCCGACTCTTATAACCAAACACCAAATGTTATGAGCCTCAGAAGAGTGAACAAAAGTCGTACAAAATTCACCCCAACCAAAGTAATGGTGTTAATATAATGAAAATTACAGAAGAGAAGGGCTAGAAAACCACCATAAGAAAGTCAGAACAAAGAGGAGGTCATGGGTGTTTAGAGAATCCTGTATTTGTATGTTATATAGATGAATATCATTTTATTGATATGGTTAAAATTAGTGAAACAATGAATGGGGCAAATTGCAAAATGTAATAAAATGTTAAGATGAAGGTCAGAGGGTTACTGATATGCGAAGCCCATCGTAGCTTAGTTGAGCATCAACACCTTCACTCTCCTTCAGCTTCAACAGATATCCATTTACTTCATCATGATCCATTAAATGCATCATACCTTCATATCAAATAGTTTCAGTTAAGTTCAAACCAGAGACTGTAAATCAACAAAGATAAAAGATTTACAGCAATGAATTCAATCCATAAAAGGAGTAGAATCAAGTAGAATGGAGTTTATACCAGTGAATAAAGTTCTCTTGGGTTGTATTTTCCTTACTTCCTCTAAAGCCTGAAAGAAAAAGAAGAACAAAAACAAACTTTGATTTCTCTTTCTTTTGGTTTATTATGCTTAGGAAACATAGAATGAATGTGAAGAATTACTCTTGGAAGCCCGAAGTGGGTGGAAGAAGATCGATCCGGGCGTAACGCATCCTGAAAGTGAACCGAATCATAACTATTATTCTCTTCTAGATTTATGTTTGTTTCTAATGGAAGAAAGAGAGAAAGAGATAGGTACCATTATGAGAATTTCACAATCTTTCAAAAGTGGGTAAGTTTCTTCAGGTATTTCACTAACATCACTGCCCAGAAAAGCAGAAAAGCAGACAAGTATTTGTTAATCCTAAGCTGATTAATGCTTCTGAGATAATTTTGTGATGGAGAAGCCTATTTTCCTTACTTACTTACCTAATGTAACAAACATTCCCAAATCGAAAACCCAACGAACGATAGCCACGACCATGCCAAACTGGTAACGGTGTAACCTGAAACGAGAGAACGAAAATGAGTAAATAGCTATCAGAATTACTTGAGAGTTGCATTTCAGGTCAATAATCATGACTTTCAAAGCTTCGCCAGTTCTCATAACTTAACTTCTGTTCCGTACTGTAATGAACTAATTGAGAAAGTTTAAACAATCCTAAAAACAGCTCTAGGGCTTGGGAAATCGTCCAACATCATAAACCTGTATGCTTTTTTATGAAGATTAAAACAAAACCATAATCATTTTTTCAGATGAACAATCCAACATACAGCTCTAGGATTTGGGAAATCATCCCAAATCAGAAACCTGTGCGGTTTTACTGCCAGGTTCATTAGAAGTGAAATGAAAAACAAAAGATTAATCAGGAATAAAACGAAAATGTTCTGAGGAATTTTCTGCTTTCATTAATTGAACGTTGCATGCAAACAAGCTGGTGGTGATAAAATTCAATTCCATTCAAGAATTTGGAGGCTTAAAAACAAATCCCTTCAAAATTACAATTCCTACCTTCAAACCGCTGACTACAAAAGGCTCCTCAGGTATGATATTGAACTGCAAGTCTGAAACTGCAGCACCAGGTGCGATCACACTTGTGTCTACCAAATAATAGTGAGTCTTCTTCATCACCTAAAGTAATTCCACTATATATAATTTATCAAATAAAAAAGGGTTAAATTATAATAAATACCCATGAACT